AAGTAAAGTCAGTTGATGAGTCAATGCGAGACAATTTTGTCGATAGTAAGCTAAATTTAATACAACACATGCGTAGTAAACTTATTAATAAATTTATTGAGCAAGCTGATACACATATTGGCGTAAAGCAGATACCTTGTCTAAAACAACAGGATAAATTTGGTTGTTCCTTTCAGTGACAATTTGGTTATGCTAATTTTCTTTTACACATACTTACTGGGTTTAAAAATGAATGACTTGAATATGTAGCGTAAATATGATATAACATTGCACAATAATTACTAACATTTAAATTGTATAATTCTTAAAATAAAAATATTAATTTTGATATGATAAATAAATTACAGTCTAATGCCGATATAAGACCTGCCTATTATAATCAACTTTCCTTTATAATCACTTATTTTGCAAAATATAAATTCTTTTACATTGTACCTAACGTTAAATGAGTACCATTAGTATCACTTCTGTTATAATCAACTATCCGTTTGTATCCCTTATTATATCAATACTTTTGTATATAAAACTGTATAAAAAGACATCCGATATAATCACTAGTTTTTAATATGCATTTGGTAACAATCTTCAAATATAACGTGACAACGGGGACAAATTCAATATATGTATTTATGCTTTTATGGGGGAAAATAATCAAATATACGTAACATTTTATAGATCCACTTTCTTTATTGAATGTGTACACAGCAGATGTGTTCATGTGGGTAAGAGTGAGCATTATTACAGTACTTGTAATCATTTTATTAAAAACTAATCACAAATACCATAACACATGTATGAGTAGGGATTAATAATTGCTTATAATGAAAGGGATTATGAAAATTGTCAAATAATATAACATTAATTAGGATTGACTCTAAAATTGTTTACCTGTAAAAACATCAATAAATAACGTCTGGCCACGTCTGGTACACAGTATATTGTATCGTATGAACACAAAATCTCGAAAAAATAAATAATGAAAAACAAAATTTCTAAAAATAAAATTTCGAAATGCACAATCTCGAAAATTAGAAAAATATGTTTTAATTATTTTATTAATTATAAAATTATATGTATAAAATGATTTAAAACTAAACATAAAATAGAAAATTTTAATTATAAAATATGTACATTTACAAGTAGTTTGGTTAGAATTTTGTTTTTAAAATGCTATTTATCTATTTATTATAAAACATAATTGTGTACAGTATTAATGAAAAATTGTAAATACATTATTTTGTTAACTAATGTTTTAAAAGTTAATAAAATATCTAAAAATAGACAAGATTTTCGAGATTGTGTATTACGAGATTTTGATGTACTCATAATTTAGTGGTTTGGTCACTATATATTTTATAAGGTGGCATTCACAAATTACGTGCGCGCGCTTAGAGGGTCATGCCAATACGTGTCACCATAATAAATTCCTGAGTAAAATGGGCGTGTAAGGGTAGTTACATTGACTGGGATGAGTCAATTATTAACTAAAATGTAGCGTACGTACTTTGTGGACGCCGCCTTCTTCTCAAACTGTAAACAATCCAATCAATGCTCTCTCTCTCTCTCTCTCTCTCTCATAGTTTCTCACTACAGTAATTACTCTATATAATATACACATCGGGTTTTATCAACTAATATCAATACATATTATAAAAATAAGTGAAATTATAGGTAATTATAACTAATTCTCTAAAATTATGCCAATAAATAATATTATACATATATAGCAATTAACATAATGTATTGTCTCTATGTTGTAATTAACTGTATTATATTTGTACTATAACGCCATTTGATGATAAATATTGGTAGATATTCATTATAATCAACTTTCCAATATAGTCCCTAATTTTCCAAAATTTTACCAGTTGATTATATCGGCATTAGACTGTATGTAAGAAGTACTGTAAAGTTAATTTTGTTATAAAACTATTACTGTAATATGTAGAGTCATACTGTACATTGTAGTCTATATTAACTTGATATCAAATTGATTGTACAATTGCACGCATTTATTATATATTAAATTATGTATAACTTATTTACAAACCTTGCTGTAAATTCTACCCATCATACCAGTCCAGGTACCATTCATCTGATATCCAGTCCCATTAGCATCATATATAAGATCGTATGTAAAATTCAGTGACTTTGATAGATACTTAAGTAGATGGCATTGAATTCCCCCTGAGCAATTATTGAAATCATTGTTTTTGAAACTCATCCAGGGAGCCGGTAAATCACCTACTAATTTCAGGTGCATTGTGACAGTTAAGTATAACTAAACTTTGAGATAAATAAATCTGGAAATGAATATTTTATTTAATGAGCTATTACATAAGTTATAAAACTAAATAGCCTTCGTGTTATTTACTATTCATTTAGGAATATTAAAAAGTACACTAGTAAATATTAATATACGTGTACAGGTGTATCAATATACAAATATTATTGACTAAAACAAGGTGAGCCTATACCATTGGCCCCCAAAATTTTATGATTGATTTTGACGTAGAATTTTATGCTGAAAACAATGGTGCACTCATAAAAATTTTTCGGGCATTCGGTTTCGACTTATCGAACGTTAAAGTCGAAAGTCGAAAAATATTTTTATTGGTATTATATGGCATATTATATATGAATTTGATGTAGAATTTAATGGGGAATAGGAATATTAAGTCGAAATAATTTTACCACAAACCGTTTGTGAAATATTGGTGTTTAAACGTAGCTAACCTAACCTAACATAACCAAACCAAAACTACAAAAAACCTTAAAATTACTCTTCTTGCTAGGTTAGGTTAGGTATTTTTAAACACAAATATTTCATAAACGGTTTGTGATGAAATTAATTCGATTTCATATTCATATTCCCCGTTAAATTCTACATCAAATTCATATATAATATGCCATATAATACCAATAAAAATATTTTTCGACTTTCGACTTTAAAGTTCGATAAGTCGAAACCGAATGCCCGAAAATTTTTTATGAGTGCACCATTGTTTTCAGCATAAAATTCTACGTCAAAATCAATCATAAAATTTTGGGGGCCAATGGTATAGGGGCACCATATAATTGCATTATACAATCATTTAATTAACAGTTAAATTATTTAAGCAAAAATCATTGATGTTTATGCAATCAGAAATGCTTTTCAAAATTAAATTATGATATATAAATTATAAGAGAAAAAATATATTAAAAACTATAATAATTATTATGATATTGTTAACATAAAACTTTTAAAACTCATATTTCCCTCACCTCTTATGGCAAGTCTCGATCACTGCTGACAACTGAGACCTCATTAACTCATTGAAAAGTCAAAATACATACAAATTGCATGCTATCAGTACAGGAAAATGCTTTTTTTCTAGAATTAGACAAATAAATAGCATATTATTTAATAATTGAAATAACAATAGAAATGTTTGTTAATTAATATATTTGGCACTCAATCGGACGGATCCACAACAGCATCAGAATCGCCAAAATCGGCGCCGAAATCAAAGATTTCCAGTTTTCCTAACTTCTGAACCATCGCTTCAATAGTCGGTGTTATCTCCAGTTTGCTCTCAATCTTCAGACTCTGAATGTGCGGTAAATGTGTGTGAATTGAGTCAAAGAAACTCGCATTCAATACACAGTTTGGTAACATTAACGACAAATGTGTTAATCGTTTCAATGAAGACAATGATTTCGGTGTCAATTCAATGTTGTGGTCATTTGTGTCCTCCGGATCAGTCGTCAGCATTAACTCCAGTCTTTGTAAGTGTTTCATATGATTCACGGATTCATACACTAGTCTTGCATTTGAATCAGTTCCGCATCACATCTGCAGTCGATATTCTCTTGAGTTGTGGCCATTGATTGACAAACTCTTTGCAGTGATAGTCAACGATAGACTGAATTGTATCGGAATTATTGATAGAAATTTAGGTGTAATTTAAAAACATATCGTCAGTAAAGCTTGTATTGCATTCACCAAATCGTTTACCCGTAATCACAGACAAAGTACTTCAATTTAAAGATCATCAGGGTAATAGAATGAGATTAATTCAAATAATTAGATATTAATTCAAACGATTACCGAAACCATATGACACGCAATGTTATAAATATATGGAAAATGAAACACAAATCAAATAACAAACCGTTTATTTGCCATAATATTTAGTAATACTAAAACAATTGAAATACAGTGTCATCACTAAATAGATGCTAATCACCAGACATTGAATGTGTGGTTAATTAGTAAATTCATAATTGCAAACCAATTTCAACATAAAATCAATTTATAATTTTACACAAAAGTATATTCAAAATATTTGGACACAAATTGATAGCTCATTCAAATTCATCATCACTGATGTACTCATCGCTACTCATGTAGTGATCGGAGTCGTCATATATTGCCGTATTGTTGACCCAATCAAAGCACTTGAGATGCGGTAACTTCTCGACAATCGCTTTAATAGTCGGCGTTATCTCTAATCTACTCGTAATCTTCAGACTCTCAATGTGTGGTAAATGCGTGTCAATGGTGTCAAAGAAACTCGCATTCAATACACAATTGAAATGTAAAGACAAATGTGTTAATCGTTTCAATTGTGACAATGAATTGGCGGTCAAATCAATAGTCTTTTGTTTGGTAAATGATGGTGTAATCAGTATTAACTCAAGTCTTTGTAGGCCTTTCATACGACACACCGATTCATATAATCGACTGATGTGTGGATCAGTTTTACAGCACAGAACCAATTGATATCTCGTGAGATGCGACCATTGATTGACTAAATCCTTGCAGTGATAATCAACAACAGTCTCGAGGGTCTTGGGATTGAAAATCGGAATCATTTCAATATTTAGTTCTCGTAATGCTTTCATTCGTGACAACTGTTTGAATACAAGAATATATTCTTCGGCAGACGTTTCCAGTCTATCGATACGAATAGAAAGTGATTTGAGGCTATTCTTGTAGTAATCAACAAATGGTGTCAATCGGTGCCAATCAGATGAGGTGTAAAGAACTCGAAATTCTGTTAAATTCTTGAATAATAACTCATTGTTTTCGGTGACAATCGTTGACCACATCCTATCACAGCATTCACCCAATAGTTGTCTCAGTTTTGTCAATGACTTTGAGTGCGATTCCAGCACTTCTTCATAACCCTTAGGCGGCACTGATATAGCAGTCAATTGTGAGCCATATTTACACACAATTCTGTCCATTATTTTCACATCAATTCTGGGCTTAAATCGGACATCAATTGTCTTCAAGTGTTTGTATGAATTCATTAGTATTTCAAACACTCTCTCCATATCTTGTGAATCGATGTCAATATGAATGTCTGTAATGTGTGTCCACTTCTTGACCACTGATTCCAATGCTTTCCAACCGTTGTCTGTAATCGTCTTAATCTCATTAAACTGTGACTTCTTCGGCATTATATCACTGACAGAGAAGATATGTCTTGAAGTGAATACAGATCTCTGCCACTGTTTGGACAGACATTCAAAACGAAACGAGTCTTTGAATGATAGGTAAGACAATATCACTTCGCATAAGTCATTGCCATATCTGTCGAATGAGTCCTTCGGATATTCCTCTGGAGTGCCATTCATTGACATCTTTGCCTGAAATATAGATAACTTATTGTAATCAATGGCCAAATGTATGTATTTTGAGAGGGTATGAGTGGTTGTATTGAGTGGACACACGATGACTATAACATACCATATCTGCGGACAATTGATCACAACTTCTTGAGTCCATGTCTTCAGGTGTGAGACAAACACATCAATGCAAAGACTTTTCGTACAAAACATGTGATAATAAGTGTATAAATGATGTGACAATACGTGTGAGTATTATATGAGTGTTTGTATCACTAATGCATGCATTCATCACTAAAGGGGACAATATTTTCGTGAATAAAAAGTCGTGTTTTATATTTGACTCAAATAATGAGAAATAAACTTAAAAAGTATTGTCTATTAAATTATTAGTTACTTATCATTTACTAAACTTGTAATCAATATTAGATTAAATCAAAATATAATGAATTCTCAGCGATAATTACCGGAACTGGATCAATTTAAGTGTAATTTAAAAACATATCGTCAGACAAATATATCTCATTAATATTGCAGTATTTTATTAAAACGATTATTAAAATACAATTCAAAAAAATAGTTTAAAACACGAATTAATAAGTTATTCAAAAAATTAAAATAAAAAACTGGTGAAATAGGTTTAATGCAAAATTAATTAGCCTTTATGAATAACATAGGATAGCATTACAGGAATCGAGAATTATAATGTAATTATGAATATTTTGATCTAAAAATTAAAAATATTTGTTTAGTAAAGATTTCAATATAAGAGTTCAATGAATATTTAATTAATTTTCAATGAATTATAGAGTTTGTGTTTAAATTGCTATCCTCATTAAACAAGCTAGGTTTATTTTTAATCAACTTGTTAATTATATTACCACATGTATTTATTTCATTTAAATACTTTGTGATTGTAATTAAGTATAAAATAAATTTTACCTATTTTTATAAAAGGTATACTTTGTATGTTTATTATATTCTTAGTTTTAATTTAATATATCGTATGACTGTTTCTGATTAAGAATATATAATGACAATTAATAACAGATTATTCATTTCTTAGCTATCACATTTTTGTAAACCTGTAATCTTAACAAATAAGTTTAATTCACCAAACTGTGATTAAACAATACCAAAACGTCAAACATATAATTTATCAACAAGACCAAATAAGGTACTTTTTACTTATCTCTAATCACTTTAAGTACTGTATTGTTGATATTTAAGCTCAAAAATTGTTATATAATAAAAGGTCTTTTAATGTTATAAAAACAAATAGTAATTTTATTTAACCATGAAGTCCATAATAAGCATTATTAGTATTTTATTCACAATTCACGGCTCAACAGCCCTTTTTGGTCCAAACATATTTGTATCGCATTCCGAGGCTAATGTCAAACTGGATGACGATGTCGGGGAACCACTGTTTTTGACGCCATATATCGAGAGTGGACGGGTAGCTGAGGCACAGAAGTTGAGTCAAGTGTCAGGTCTGCCCTCAGCGCCCAATATTACCCACTATTCCGGGTTTCTCACCGTTAATAAAGAATACAAGAGTAATATGTTTTTCTTGTACTTCCCGGCACTGGTATGTCCATTGACTTTAAATTAAAATTTAACTTGGATGACTATAAATACAATTTTATCTAGCTATTGTATTTTAAAACTAGTATTATTAAACTAATAATTAAAGTAAAGATTAAACTAATTATTTTGATCAGAACAAAATTCCTTAAACATAATTAATTAATAGTTTTTATATTTTATAATTGCTACAAATTTTTTCTAAACTAAAAAATATAATTAAAAACAATGTATAGAATGGAAACAAGTCGGCGCCCCTTATACTATGGTTAGATGGAGGGCCAGGTGTGTCATCACTATTCGCACTGTTTGCACAAAACGGTCCTTTCGTATTGGACTGGGATCTAAACGTTAGTCTTAGGGAATACACGTGGGGTCAGGAGTTCTCCCTATTATACATCGATAATCCAG